GGAAGGAGAGGGGAAAGAGGAAGAAGAGGAGAAAAGGAGAGAGGGAAAGTGAGAGAGGGAAAGTGAGTGAGTGAGAGAGAGAGAAAGAGAGAAAGAGAGAGAGAGAGAGAGAGAGAGAGAGAGAGAGAGAGGGAGGGAGGGAGGGAGGGAGGGAGGGAGGGAAGGAGGGAGAGAGAGAGAGAGAGAGAGAGAGAGAGAGAGAGAGAGAGAGAGAGAGAGAGAGAGAGAGAGAGCGAGACAGAGAGAGAGAGAGAGAGAGAGAGAGAGAGAGAGAGAGAGAGAGAGAGAGAGAGAGAGAGAGAGAGAGAGAGAGAGAGAGAGAGAGAGAACAAAATACGGAGGTAGAGGAGGGGAAAGGAATAAAACATGGAATAGAAAGAGATAATCAAAGAAAAAAAATAAGGAAGGTAGAAAGAGAGAAAAAAAGAGAAATAAAAAAAAAGAGAGAGAACAAAACACACAAAAGAACCGCATACTAAGAAAGACTTCTCATAATGGAAAAAAAAGAATGTTATACAACGTCCCTACATCGGTATAAACCCCCCATTAGACTAGATACCTTGGCGATAAATCCTACTACGCATTTGTTCCTACTGCTTCTGCCGAGGGTGCTTGTGCGTGAATGTACCTTCTCATCCGACCTTCTCACTGACCTTTCTATGCGTTTAATCGTGCATGGCGGTACTTCTATTCATTTACTCTTAACCCTTCTCCATTCACTCCCCCCCCCACACACACACTTCCTCCTCCTCCCCGTTTATGACTACAGCAACGCCTCCCCCCCCCCCTCCCACTGCCAGAAGGATCACAGCACCCCCCCCCCCACACACACACACACTGCCAAAAGGATCACAGGACCTCCCCCCTCACGGCCAAAAAGATCACAGTACCCCCCCACCCCTCTTTGCAAAGGATCACCCCTCCCCCCCTCTTTGCAAAGGATCACCCCTCCCCCCCCTCTCTTTCGAAAATCAGACAGACACGCACCTATCGAACCTCCATATCCATACCTCGATTCTATGAATACTCAAACGCGGGTTCGTCTCCTCCGCCAGATTATCATCATCTGTCGTGACGCGGGAGACTTTTATCTCTCGCTCGTGAAGAAAATTGTGTATAAAATTATTAAAAGAAATTGGTTTGGGCTTCTGCGGGGCGAATAATGGGAATGAGTGTTGTTTTTTAAAGCAATTGGGGTGAAGGTGTATTACAGTTTAACGGGGAGGGTATTTCAGCTTTTTTTTTATCATACGAACGTTTTGTCTTCATAAACAGTGTTAGTCGTGGTGTTTCGTATCTATTTATGTGATTTTATTACTCTACAACATTTATGAGAGATATTATTCGTGTTTCATGTTTACATATATCTCTGAAATGTATATATATACTAGGATCCAATACACTATCTGTACATGCATAGGAATTGTGCTTAAATACTCAACTACACAAACTGGATTTATGAAAGGAGTTGAATGTCAGCAGGTCACGCAAGAAAGGGCAAGGAACATAGTGTACTCTTTGTTAGTTAGGCTTATTCATTGTAACTAATACCGATATCGTCAACAGCATACGATGAACATGGAAGAGTACTGCCCTTTTCAAGTATCGACAGAATATAATATTATAACATCGAAGGCCCCTAACTCCGGGTTACGTACGCGAGATCAAAATAAAGTCACGAAATGAAAATAACTTTTTTTTCTTTTTTTTTACCATGTATGGAAAGACGAGAATGTAGTATGGAAGGAGGGCTGAGGTAAAGAGGTGAATGGCCGATTTATGACATTTTCCCCAGCATGTATAAGTGACCACGGTCTTTCTTTCCGTCTTAAAGGGGACATGGGAAAGAGGGTGGGGGGGGGGGGGAGGAGAAGGCAAATGAGCGGGACTGAATTAGTCTAGACTTGTTTCTTACTGTAATGATAATATTGCATGTCGTACAATTACATGAGTGTGGGGAATAGGATAAACATATTTTGTTAATCAGTTAATACAGAAATCTCTTAATTTTAGAAGTTCTGTAGTTTAAGCACAATAATAAAACTGAAGACGGTTCTTATGATAATATTAATAAAGACGGCAGTAATAATGGTATTAATGATAACGATAATGGAAAATGAAAATAAATCGTGAAAATAATGATTAATACCAACAATAATAATAGTGCTGATAGTATTCATGATAATAATGAGGATTAAAATTTTATAATGATAATAAATAAAGGAACAATAGTAACAATAAAAATAATAAATGATGATAATACCATTACTGACATTGATAATAACAGGAATGATGATATTAATAATAATAATAGTAATAATAATGTTAATAATAACAAAAAAATGATATTAATAATAATGATAATACTTTTGGTTATGATATTATTCCTAATGATGATAACAATATCAATGCTAATGATAACAATAATAATGGTAATATATTAATACTAATGATGATAACAACAACAGCAATTATTATAATCATAATAATGATAATAATA